GCCGTAATTTGTGCTACACTTGTGATTATATTATATTAATCAAATTAGGAAGCAAGTGTAAATCAAGCTACATTTATCACGGGCAAGTGGGCATAAGATCTTACAACACAAATCTCATTAGCATTACATACATGATGCATATACTTCTACGCCAAGATATCATTCTTGCGGAAACAAGTTAGTTCAATTTTTTTCACCAACGCTTTTCATTACCTCAAAGTTATGTTTCTTCTCTTTCTATTTAATTTACTGGATTATAAATTTTTAGTTCAAGACGTATTGAGATCACTATTGCAAATTTACTCATTTCCGTAGCATAATTGTCAAATTCGAAAGAAATTTGCATTTGATGTGAGTTACAATCATAGTTACAAACTTTGGCACAAGTTTGCTATGATATCAAATGTAATAATGCATTCACAAAAAAGCATAAGAACACAAGATAATAAATGTGGTTTACCATTTGATTGCGTTCAAAAAAACATGAACTTGACAAAAAATGTTGAGGGGGCAAGCTAGGTCTTGTCGTCTTAAATATTCACATTCAAAATTCTAACTAACAACAGATCGAACCCTAACTAATAGTCAATGTGAGTTACAATCTATCAAGTATAAATTTTGCAGAGTGAATTGTTCACAAGATTTAATATTGTATACAGTTATTTAATATTTTTGTTGCAATCAAATAATATTGTTTGTATGATTATGATCAACCTTGTAGAATTGAAAATTTTGAGTCAACATTGATATAATCAAATGTACATAAAATTCACATGAAGTAAAATATTATTTATCTATTTTGAAATGTTAGATTCAAAAAAAATTTGTGGTGTTAAATCAAATGCTTGATATTTAAAAGGGTTGATAAGATTAATATAAAAATGCAAAAGTTTTGAAATTCACGACAGAAACCAATAGCATATGTATTGAAATTAATATCACTAGATCTTTGATTGAAATGTTCATACAAGGCATTTTAGTATAAAACATATGAATATCAGATACTTAATATTAGTTCATATCGCCAAATGATAGATGTATGAACAATTAAGTATCAATTATCTCAACTATATGAACTTAACACCTGATTTAAATTAATTTGATTTGAAATTTTTGGACTGTTGGAGCACACCATGATCAAGATACATAAATATTGCTAATTGATCAAGATTGTCAATGTGGGTTGGATAAAAAATTGACAAGATTGCATAAGACAAAGTACTTTCATTTTTGTCATGAAGTTGCAACAAGATCTTGTATAAAGTGTACATCCAAGATTTTGGAATGGAATGATTTGAGCACACTCCATCAGAGTACTACAATGGATATCCATACTCATGGATACCCAATATCCACCCATATTCATGGGTATATGGATGGATAATGAGTATGGGCTAGGATGGATGGATGGATAATGCACAGGGCAAATTTAATCTATCGCTTTGCGTTATTTTGAAATTTAATATATCGCAAAATAGAGCCCTTAGTATTTTTATAATATCGCAAGTCATAAAATCTACAAAGAGAAGTGTATAACAACTAGTCGTAGATGCAGGCTATCAAGGAATCAAGTTGCTTGAGCTGACGTGCAAACATGACTCCTTCAAGAGAATAGTCCGACAAGTTTGAATTATAATCATCTTTGCGATAGTTCATGAAGGAGAAGTCTGCTTCAACGCGGCTCGTTGTTGGCATAACAAAGTCAAAACTTGCAGCAAATCAACGCAGGAATTCGAAGCAATGGACAACATGATGTCAAGCTTGATTGAAGGATTTCTTGACAACTTTCTCCAACGCTGCCTGAAGTTGACGTTTGCGTGCTACCGATGACGCCAACTCCTTGTGCTGATATGTAATCTATATCATTTTAGCCTCATCGAATGTGTTCAATATTCGAGGCTTGTGTTTTTGAACAATTCAAACAAAATCGATGGCAGAAACTACAATCAAATCCATCGAAGAACTTGCTGGCACCAAATCAAACTCTTGATTATAGTAGTACCTTGCGGCCTTCATTTTCATGATGTCATTCAATGAATTGAGATAGATCACTACCATTGCTCGAATAACGGTAAAGGCGTCGACCATCTTTAGTGATTCAAACTGGTCCATCGCCTATACATCTATGGATAAAATGTTGTCTTTGATTGTGTCAGAGTTAACAATAAAAGAACCCATTTGAACTTCAATCAGGGACAAGATAGTTATCGGACCTCCAAACTCGGCAACAATGTCGTCAACAGCGACTCCACAATTTGACTTTAACTCCTCACAAAGCCTTTCCAAATTGCCCATTTTCTGAGACAAATGCGCATTAGCCATTTGTAGAGTGTCGAAAGTAATAACAACATTCTTCAAAAAGACGTGTACGACCTTTGCAACTAACCACCTAAAAATCAAACGCCATACTCAATAAACTCTTGAAGTAATGATGATGTTAACTCGTTGAGGAATATCATAATACATACAAGGCAGGAGATGGAAATGAGCAAAACTTTTTTCTTGCATATAGATGGAGACGTGAATCTGGTTTGCCAACAATCACTTCAGCACCTTCGCGAGGGACGTCCAACGAACATTGATATAATAAGAGCATTTGTATACCATCTCACAAATGAGTTTCTTTTAACATCAAAGATAGGCAATAACTTTGGTGAAGATATTCATATACACGAACACCCCAGTTTCAACCATCACGTCGATTGATCTTTTGATCACAAGGTCAAGCTGGTGGGCAAGACACTAGATACGGTAAAATGCATCACTACACAAAGATTGATTGAGAAGAAGTGTCGAGAAACCACTGGTATGGCTTGTCATATTTCCAACTCCGTCAGTAGATGAATCAATCAACTTCATTCTACAATCTGAGCAAAGTGCATACAACATCTTAATCACCAGATCGGCATAGATTTGCCTGGTGTGGGCCAGAGAAAACAGAGGAATTGCTAAGAGATGAAAGCCGTGTTGAGTTTTTGCTTTGCCATCATATCCAACAACGGGAGGAAAAAGTATACTCAAATCAAGATGTTGATCACCACCTTAGTCGTTGGATTTGTCCGCTCCAATAGAGTAAGTCCAGCATGATTGCATTATCTCTATCATTACGTGCAATCTAATCGCACAAGCCAAACGCGAGAAGTTTGAGGCTTCACCAGCAAAAAATCACTTCACTTTCGCTGCTATGCCAAGATTCTCTCGATCGCTCTGAACAACTTTTGATATCTGGTAGAAACTAAGACCACGCTCAAAAGCTCAAGCACATGATTAAATTGGGCCTTGTTTTTGATATGAACAGTGTAGGAAATGATTTCTTCAGACTCGTTTATTACCTACTCGAATGATCTCATCGCAATATCGTCTAAGATCAATTCGTTCTCGTCAAAAAACATCTCTCGAATTATGATTTCAACGATCTTTTTGTTGATGAAATAGGACACATCATCATTGACCTCAGATTTCTTGAAGAAGAACTCTCTAAGCTTAGATTGCTCAAAAAAAGCATTGAATGCATCCGGATTTGATTCTTTCTCATACCTGAACTCAATGTACTTCGTCCACTGCTTCGGATGATGCCGCTACATGTGCTTTTTCTTGTAACTGCAGTTGAAAGCATCTTTCTTAAAGAACTGAAACGTTTTTGTCTTAGCTAGTTTGCGAACAACGGCATCAACCTCACGACCAAAAATTTGACAAAACTAGCAGACAGCTCTATCAACCCGTCCACTCTGCTCGTTGATGCTGGCAACTTTAAACCCAAATTCATAAGCATAAGATTGTTTCCAAGGGTAAGCTCGCTTCGGAGGCATTACAACGATCACAAGCGACAAAAACCACAACACAATGGCGCAAAATGCGGCAGCTGAGCTTCCAAACGCAGTATCTCCGTTCCAGGAATGGGGATACTGCGGTGGCGGCGCGGCGGCGACGGACGAACGGCGTTCCTTAATATATCTCTATGATGTGCCCCTAATATATCACATTGTGGTATATTAACAATTTTGCGATATATTAAATTGGCCTGGTAATGGATGGATAGAAGGAATGGAAGGTTATTGGATATTGGTTACAAATGGGTATAATACCAATTGCACTACTTTGATGTCCATCTCCAGAGGAAAAAACTCTTGCACAACTCTTTCTGGACCCGACAAATGGAATCAATCAACAGGTTCCACCCAAAAATTACAAGACATTCTGTTTGGACAATGGTCATGTCTCGTGTTTGAAGAGTTCACTTGCATATAATGAAATTATGTACTGACTGTCTATCTATCACATGTTCATGATTTTTATCATATTGTTGGTTAAACACAATTTCGCAGCTTGAAATGAAACTTTATATTACGAAACTCTTGTCACATGATTTGTACTTCTCTCGTTCCATCATGTGATGCTTTCGTCGAAACTATTCATGTTTTTATCGATTTGTTGTTTAAACACAACTTTGCAGCTTGAAATGAAACTTTAGTTGTCCAAATTTTCTTCTCACAATTCTCATTGGCGTGTCACTCTCTTTGAAAACACTTCAAGTGCTCTCAAGTAACTTTATATTGGTGATGGACTCATGGGTATGAGTTGGGTATGGACTCATGGATAATGTGTGGGTAATGGGTATGGAAAAGTTTCCATGGGTGTAAGATGGGTGGGTACAGTTGACCCATGAGTGGGTATGGGCAAGGTTTTGAAGCTCAATGCAGGACTCTACACTGCATATAACAAAAATATCAAACAGATTGCAAGAGCTACGATCTTGAGGTGGCAAAATATCCACACGGTGTTTGCAATCAACCCATTTAGTGATTTGAAACTTGGGAATTAAGTACTATGAATGAATATGGGATTCACATGATCCATGATCTTTTTTGAAAGTATATCATGTGACTTGTGCAACACTGCATAAACTTCAAATGAGCTTTTGTTATAAGAAAAAGTCACAGATAAATTGGTGAAAAAACTTTACGTAGCATCTGCAAGAATTGGACAAAACATTAGGCGTTAAGAAACAGTCGTAATTTATATCTCATTATTTTTGGTTCACATGTACATCAGGTCGAGATAGATGACTAAGGGTTTAGGGTTTAGCAAGAATTTGGATGGCGTTGCACAATAACTCTAACTATTTCACAGCCAAGACTAGTTGCAACGAATATATTAATAGAGTATCGGCAAGAAATCTTGATGCAATTCTATCGAAAAAATTGGACGAGATAAGTTAATCGCTGGGTTAAAAGCCTGTACGTTACAAGTTGTATCCAATAGGCGGCGACAAAGGCTGCAAAGTGACGTTGCATGTCACGAGAGAACAAAGAAAAAGCGAAGGAATATAATCATTGACTTGGACACAGAGGTGAATAACTTAGTAAACAAGTAGATAATGTATCGTGGCCGACGTTGTGTCTAGTATCAATTTACCACTGTAGTATTATTAAAAAGCTTACACTCTTCATTGCTCGTGGGTCCTGGTGGAGTATCTATATTAATACCGTCTTGGTCCCACTTCCGATGTCTACGCACACTACTAAGGGTTACCCACAGGTTCCAATTATGACTGTTTTCAAGTAAAATTTTGATTGGTCGGGGTAGTCTTCTGTGAGATTTATATTCCGAAAATCACAATAATTACAGAGTTGACTAGTTTCACGCATACAGAACAAATTGAGTGAGGGGTTCATATCCTCATCAGATTTTTTTGTTTAGAATAACTAGACTCTCGTATGCATTCGGATTCTATATATTTTCTCACTCGACAAACTTTCTCTCTCTGCCTGTCAACCAAGCAGAAAGGGACCAGATGTAACCAAGAAAAGATTACGTCTGGCCGAGGCTCCGAGTCGTTTCCCGCTCCTCTAATCAACCTCCACGATCTTCACTTCCCTTCTCCTCGCCCGTTCTCCAACGCTTCAGAATATTCATCATTGCTGCTGCAAAGGTACTGACTGCCGCTCAGATCTTCATGAAATATTAGCATCCCCGTCGTCGTATCGTGTCGGGGTGAGGACGTAATCACACATCACATACAAGAAGAGAGTCATACTCTCGACCAACTTGACTGGAAGGAAGGAAGCTCATGGATTGGCCTCGTCATCTATCAGCTCAGGGCTGCGTAAGCTCGTGCTCCTCATCGTGCTGATGTCCATAAGACTGCACGTACATGAATCCCCCACCGAATGAAGGAATATTTTCTTTCATACTTACAAATTGCATCCTACAATATTGAAGCCAACTATACAAATGTGAAATGCTCTGTGAAAAGTTATCAAAGCCGAGGGGTCCTGTCCTATGAAATGGGGGCCGTAGTAAGATGTACAGCAGAAATACTACTGGTGGGTGAAGATCGTTGATGTCGATATTTCTAACAGGGCCATCAATGTAGGTCACACCACAGTCCGGATCAATCCATGGAATTACAGCTCACGGCGTGCCAACCAGCTTCTGATGCAAAACGCTGAGGTCACCGATTTTCCACCGGTTTGTGTCATTCTTCAGGATACGGAAGAGGACGTGCCAATGGACCAATCGTCGATGGAGGTCTACCGACCACCTGCTGGAAGGTCCGGGAGATCGGAGACATGAAACGATATCGACGAATCGTCGATAACGATGCTCCATCACGATTGTCGACGGGTTTTGAGCTCGGCCTGCAATGCGGTCATGAAGTTGAAGAAGAAGTCCTTGAAAGGGCAGGCGCGCCATTCGGTGCCCGTCCCGAAGGTGAAGAAGAGGCTGTTGGCCTGCTCGGCGGCGGACGAGATTGAGAGCATGACAATGGTGGACGAAGGTCGGCCGGGGTACCGCAGCAGCCCGTTCAAGTTGGTCTCACGCATGACCACTCTGGGAACTTGCGGGGTGGGGCAGTTGCTCTTGCGCGTGAACAGATGCTCGATGGGAGTGTCCAGATTGTCCTTGAGCTTCAAGACGGCCACGGCCATGATCGTGACCACGGAGCCCACGTTGTGAGTCACATCCATGACGTCGAGTCCCGGCTGGGCGTTCTTCTGACAGAAGCTGTAAGTCGCCTCTTGAGCTTGTACTCCTCTCTTCTGATTCCCCGGCACGAGAGCGGCGACGAGGTTCGTCGGCAGCACATGCCGAGTCTCTCGCACGACCTCCACAGGGATCGAGTTCAGCTCCGACTTCATGAACCGGGCATCGACGATCTGGGCCAATGACACAGCGACCTGCTCCTCCGAGGCTCCGCTCGCGATCTGGTCGGCCAGAGATTTGACATCCTCGCCTGCGAACCCCGAGCTCAGCTTGTCCTCGAATACCTTCCTCCTCTCGCTGTACTGCGCGGCCTCGCTCTGCGGCTCGAATGCCAGGAACCACTTGTCATGGCTCTTGTTGTGGAATCGTGTGCCGGAGAAGAACCATGTGCTCCAGAACGGGAGCTTGTCCGTCGGCAGCGCGTGCAAGTGATCCACATCCGGGTGGTTCGTGAGGGTCATGATCTGCGCCGCATCCGTCACCAGCACCACGTCGATTGGTATGAAGGGCAGCGGAATGTCGATCCGCAGCGGCTTGTTTTGCCTCAGCACGAATTTCTGAAGTGCTCCCACCACCGTCCTCGCGATGCCTATCGGCAGCGAAATTATCACTCCCATCTTCTTCTTCTTTTCCTTTTCCCTCGTGCTCCTCCTTTTTCTTCAGCTGCTTCTGCTTTCGATTCTGCTCTTCAAGGAAAAACGAAGTGATCGCGCTCTCCTCCTTTCTGTCAGCTGCTTCTGCTTTCGATTCTGCTCTTCGCGGGGATACGAAGTGATCGCGCTCTCCTCCTTTCTGTCAGCTGCGTCTGCTTTTTGTTCAACTCTTCGCGGGGGAATGAGGTGGCCGTACTCTTCTCCTTCTCCGCCAGCTGCTTCTGATTCTTCTCTCCCGGGGACAAGAAGGGGGCGCGCGCGAGAGGGGAAATAAGGAGCAGCTCAGAGGACGAAGGCGGAGCTGAGAATCTTGGCGGCTTGACCGAATGGCGCCGATCTGGGTCCGGGGGTCCGGGGATCCGGGGTCCGAACAGCTCCGACGAAGCCGTGTCGATCTCTTCGCTGTGCATGGACTCGAGGACTATCGGCACTGGACGGCGCAGAGTGGTCAAGTCAGCAAGCACCAATTTCCCGGAGGGAGGAAAAAACGAACGAATGCGCATGCGACTGTGACTGCAACTGCTGCTCTCACTGAGTCAGTCGCCTCCTGGCGTACTTAGACTCGCCCGTTCAAGTCCCGGCACGGGTCTGGCGGTATCAAGTGTCAGACACGCCTTAAAGACCAACTCCTTTCTCTTGCTGTATCGCCCCTCGTCAGCTTCTTACCGAAGAAGACGTCGTCTTACTGCGCAGTAACTGACTTCTGATTAGCGGGTTTCAAGATATCCTCAAACAATTATTGACCACCCGTCCCATAAGAATTGAAAGTAACCCATAGTAAGATAAATGATGAGAAGTAATAATTATCAATGAAACTATTTACACTTCAAATCCAAAATGAAATAAGTTTCAGTATGTCATATTAAATTTCACCTAAAGTAAAAGATTACTGTGTTGGAAATTTATTACCTAAATATAATTACCCAGATTATAAACCAGAAAAAAAATGGTCGTGTGAAAATTTTCGAGAATGACGGAAAAACCCGATTACTTGGTGGTTTTGAGGCACGGAGTGCTTGAAACCAATATAAATAGATGGTCCGACGAGAGCCTTCCGGGCCGTCATAATAGTCCATATCTAGCAGATTGGAACCTCAGCCCAAAACAAATAACCACAGGAATATTCGAACATGTGCAGACCGTTACCCACTTCGATTACTAATGCCCATGCTTGACTAGAAAGTACTGACCCGTATTTCAGGTGGACTCCTACTTGTCTGTGATACGTACCCAGGACAATCATCGATGACGTGAACCTTCAGTTCCATCATCAGCAAGAAGTTAGACAGCCGACTTATAGCTAATCGAAATTGTTACATTCTTTTCCTCTCAGTTTCTATTTGGGATGCCACCAATTCAGGGTCATCAAGAGAAATGCAAACCTCTCAGCGTAGTCAGCTTGTTCTAACGTGTCAATACTTGTTGGAAAAAAAATCTCCTCATCGCTTTAAATCTTCTTTAGTTAAAGATCTCGGACCACTCATGGAAAGAATCCAATCGAAGTAGATTGTCTTGATAAAGCGTTCGGGTCCGTCATAATATACTATAATAGCAGATTGGTACCCCAGCCCGAAACACATACCCAAGGAAATATTTGACTTTGTGCAGAGTGGTATGCCCATTGAAAAACAATATCAGTTCAGTTGTTGACAAGAATAATTTAAATTTTCGAAAGTTAAACATCTCCAAAAAAAAAATTAATATAAGCTCTCGGAAGTTTCAATAGCTTGAATCTGTTGTCGAGTGATACTTTGAATTGGTTCTTAAAGGGTAAAAAATCTACACGATGAAAGAATTTATATCCTTTCTTTATCAGAGTGGTCTTGCGTAATTTGATAATTTGATCTAATTGGTGTAAATTAGTTGTTTCAGTGATATCATTTATTTCAACAGAGATGCTGGTCTGAAGAAGAAGAAAATTAGGATGGTAGATAAAGAACCGAAGAAAAATCTGATTATATCTTCTGAAAAATATCATACGAGAAATCTTAATATCAATTTAAAAAAATATTCACTACTTTAACATGATATCAGTTTCTGAATTGACATGGATTATATTAAAATTTTAATGTAATTTTTCAGTTCTTGATCTGAAATTTAAATAACGAAATTTTTTTATGTAGAAATATATAAATTTATACCAAATTACCGGCATTTGAAAAATTAATTATGAGATGATTATGTTAGAGAAGAACCGTATGAAAAAATATTTATCTTAAATCAAAGTATGGATAACTATTTCAGAAATTGAAGGTCATGTAAGTTTGAGAGAAGCTTCATTCTGACATTTAAGGCATTGGATTTGATAGTCACAGCTTGGAACATGGCTGATAAACTTATAAGTTTATTAAACAACAATACATGTAAACTATTTTGGTTTATAAAATTTTTAATAAAATTTTACATAAATACCAATAGTAAACATTCAATGTAGAGAAATAATTGACTAAGTTTTGGAGTTGAAATTTAAATTCACCTCGACGAATAGCATAATATGGCCGAATGTCTAAGGTAAAAATACAAACTCCACTTATTTTTGATAACATACACAACAAGATTGACATCATGTTAGAGTTGTCTAGAAATGAGTGTAAGATCCAACAATCAAAATCAATAAGCACGCTTGACAATTACAACACCAAGATAACATGGTTCATCTTTCAGATGCTACGTAAACAAGCAAGAGTAGAAACTTCACTAAAGCATCAATGTATACACGGTCTTCATAGCCAAGCTTTTCTCCTCCATGCTCCCTTTCAAAGTGCAACTCTAAACTGTACATAGTTTAATCACTTTAATCTGATTATAATCTGATTCATAATCTGATTTTTCTTTGTTAGTACGGGGAGCAATTAAACTCTTTCCACATCTTTTGTTGATCTGGACTCATTGAAAATATATACCTACTGACAAAAAATTTACAAACTATTAATTCACATAGCCTATAAATTTTCACATCACAGGTATATCCAAAGAAATAACACTTCTTGGATGTACTAATCAACTTAGTTTTATTCTTCTTAGATATGAGAGAATAAATCATACAATCAAAAAAATTTGACCAATATAATGAGCCATCTGTTTGTGTCTCAATTCAAAAGAAATAAAAAATTGATTACACTAAAAGGAAAAGTTTATCAAATACATTGCGGTATTGACAACTTCAGTTCAAAATTCATGTGGCAAAATTCATGTGTCTCTCTCTTCAGCCAATTTTTTTTAGAACTGAATGATGAAAAAATTATGAAAAAAAAATTCTGAAACTTCTCAGTATTATACTCTTCATCATTATACGTACGTAAATATCTTATTTTGTGTTCAATCTGAATTTCAACTTGGAATTTTCAACTTTTAAGTTTGTAGACATCTTAGACTTCTATAACTCAATTTCACAAATCTGTGAATTTGTGATTTGGAGTCACGCAATGAATCCAAAAGAAGAATTGCTTTTCTCTCTTCAGCAATCTTTTCTTCGAGATTTCAAAGATCAATGAGAATTTCATCAAGTGCATCGATGTGATCTTAAATTTTCATGCCAAAATTTTTTTATCTTGAAGCTCATCAATCTTGAAAATATATACAATTTGATTTGACAGGTCGTACATAAATTCTCAAACAACCTGAAATAGTAGATACATTTATCATACTCATTCATTTGCTTTAGAAAAATATATAAGTATGAAAATACTTCATTTGTATTATTATTTTTCTTTTGATGTTTATTTAGTTATGATAAAGTGCACATCTTAGTCAATCTAAGCATGATTATCGCTAAATGAAGTTAATCCAAAATAGAGTTAACCTAACGAACTTGCCCTTGTTTGAAGAAATGTCTAATGCATTCCACATGTATCACTGTGAAAAGTTCTAGAAGGTAAAGCTAAATCACGATTTTTCTCTATAGTCGAGAGTTAACTAGAATTAAGCCGTAACCAACAAAAATTGGATGGAGAATGCATGTACAAAAGTTACTAGACTAAATGATCCTATGCAAAATTTGCAATTTTGCACGATGCTTGGAAAAACTTTTCAATGAAATCATTTTGATTAAGGCGTCAGCAAGGTTGAGTTTACCATCAAATTTTGATGAGCTTATGTGCACTATCAGACACTGCTTGTCTGATATGATGATATTGGATGTCAATCTGCTTTACCCTACCAACCATCACAATGTTTGATGCTAGAAATAATGCATTCTAGCTGTCACAATAAAGATTCACATCATTGTGTGGCAACCCAATCTCAATGGCCAACTTATTCAGCCACATTGTCTGCTTTGCTGTTTATGGAGCCGCAACGTAATCAACATCTATGAACAACTGAAAAATGCATTTTTGAAATGTAGATCTCCAACTTATGCATCCACTAGCAAGAGTGAAAACATACTCAGTTGTTGATCTCAATCCACATTTTTTTCCATAATCAACATCAACATAATTCAAGTGCAAACTTAAATTATTTGATCGTGCATCAACAATAATCCAATATCAATAAAATCCTTGACATATCTCATTATTCACTTCATAACTTCCCAATGTTCTTGTTCGAGATTTGACATGAACCTATTTATCTTCCCAATTGCATAGGTTATATCAAGTCTAGAGCATACCATTAGATACATAATGCCGCCAACTACACTTTCATAAAAAATAGAATACATCAATCATTTTGCAGTTGCATCTGTTGGTTGAAGTGTGTAGCTAATGGAGTAATTACAAATTTAGGGTTTGACATGTTAAACGTAGCAAGTACTTTCTTTGCATATCTCATCAGTGTCAACCTCTAACACTTTGGCTTGTTGTATGTAGATGACATGCTTATTGCCGTTAAGGATAGATATGAAGTTATTAAACTCAAGGTTTAGCTCAATTCCGAATTTAATATGAACAATTCAAGAATTTTGTTTACATCCGTACAAGGATTTAAGAAATTGACAAATCAAACGTTACTTTAATCTTTTCAAGAAAGTCTCTTATTGTCTCATGCAAAAAGATTGTAACAATATCCATGTGGTTGAAT